GAAATTACATTTGGAAGCTGGTCACTATAGGCAAAATAGAAATCTTGTTTGCATACTGTTCATCTTTTACAAAGAAAAGATGAACGCTCAGCTTAGCAAAACACAATGGCAAGGGGTCTATTATTTAGAGGTTCCGAAGCCCGATGGACCATTGACTTGGCACCCTTCAGGACACAGGTTCCTAAAATGTCCTCAACCCCACTAAAGGTATTGAAGTTTTGTGACCAAAACACATACTACCATACAGGTTTGTGAGCATATGCTCCAGAGTTTAGTCATTCATGCAGGGCTACCCCAGAAGCAGACAAGCATACAGTGCAGGAGATGGCAGTGGAGATTCTATGGGGCAGACAGGCAAATGTGAAGGGCTGCAATCCTCTCAGTTCCCTGCCTGGCAGTCAGACACATGGATTCATTCTTAGAAAGAAGTCACTTACGCACAGGGAGCTGAGCAGCATTTCCATCCTACCTTTGCTGTAACCACATCAGTCGCCTCCATGCCGTGCACTCGGCCTATCAGTAAACAACCATTTGAGAGAGAGAGGTGTATCAGGTGAGCAAGTTATGTTCCGAACCTGGGTGACACATCTATAGGGGCATGCCACCTGCTACCACTGTGCTTAGCAGCATGGTAAGGCACTTATCTAAGTGGTGAGGGGAAACAGGGGAGTGGTGCTTACACCTTACTTGCATATTTCACACAGTAAGAACGGGAGGAAAATAATCAGCTTTGTGAATATTATATATTTCCAGTCCTGTGCGGTTATGAGGAGTTGTAGACGCACAGAATTCTGTATCCATGAGCAATTCCTCAAGACAATTATACTGGTTGCCAGTTGTATAGACAGTCTTCCCTGGCAATGTGCACGATTTGAACATTTTAAATGGGCATACAGAATACTTCCAAAGTTTCTTCAGGAAACACAGATGATGATGGGTAATTAATGATGTTTACAAACCTGATTATTTTACCGCCCTGTTTCATAGCATAAAATATGTTAGAAAGTTGGTGTTCTGCTGTAAATGGATTACCAGGCTGAGTTTGATTGGATAGGGTGCATGGCACAGGAAAAAATCATTACCGGGGTTATTCACAAAAGGGAGAAGAGTTTGGAGAAGGCGGGAAAAGTGAACAATCTAGGACAAAAGTGGCGGATTTGGAAAATGTCTCCAATTTAGATCACTTTCCAGTTCAGCTTTGTCAGGGATGTCCAAACTCCGGCCCTCCAGCTGTGGTGAAACTACAAAGCCCATGAAGCATCTCTCTCCGGGAGTCATGTCTGTGGCTATGAGAATCTTGCAAAGCCTCATGGGATTCGTAGTTCCACCACAGCTGGAGGGCCGCAGTTTGGACATCCCTGAGCTATGTTGTCCTAGATTGTTCACTTCTCCAAACACTTCACCCTTTGTGTAAATCACCCTGTTAAATCTTTTCAGGGCATTTCAACTACAAATTGGGTGAAGACCTTGGGAGACTGTCAGGACAGGTAAGTATGATCCACCTGCCTGGAAACATCTATGGCCAGAGATCTGGGCACAAACATGCACACTTGGGAAGCCTGAATATATTCGTTAATACCATTGGAGAAGGGTGAAGAGTAAGCAGACAGCTTCTGGCACCAGCTTGTCCTAGAACAAAATCAGACAAAGTCTTGAAAACCGTCTCATCAGACTTTCTCTAAAACATTGTTGGCCTAGACGTTAAATGGTCTCTTGATCCTATTAATTTCCTCTATATGTGACTAACATATTACTATTTCTAATTAAGTTCCTTTTGATTGGGGTTGAGATGCACTACTTGCATGTTTGATGGTCGCCCTAAAAAGCAAGGGTAGACTCCCATAGCATATGCAGGCAGTCCCAGGGTTACAAACAAGATAGGGACTGTAGGTTTGTTCTTAAGTTGAATTTGTATGCAAGTTGGAACATGTACATTTTTTAAAGTGTAACGCCAGCCAAAAATGTTTGTTTTAGTTTTGGATAGCATAGGGAAGGGTTAACCTCCTGTAAAAGTCTGTTTGCTGTGTGTGCCCCTGTTCAGGAGATTTCACCTCACTTTCTGTCCCTGTGACAATTGGATTTTGAAAATGTTGAGCTGTCGTGGAAACAAGGATTGGTGATAGCTCTTGCAGGAGTGAATTTCCCTTCCTAGGGGTAGATTTCCTCTCGCTTCCTGTTGTCTCAAGGACAGGAAGTGAGATTAAATCTTTCTAATGAGGATACAGACAGCAGTAAAAACTTCACAGTGACCCGGAAGAAGAGGCGGGCACCCCTTGTCTCCACATCTAACAAGACCCAACTTCCTGTAATGTGCGTGCAGTACTACAAACCAGACCCAAAAAGGCGGACACTTCTCGTCAAAAAAAGGAGCGCGGTAGCATTACAACTACCCCTGCTGTACAGTAATAGCCTCCATTTGTAAGTCGGATGTTTGTAACTCGGAGACTGCCTGTATACATGAACACACGAAAACCCTACACTTGTGTCCTGAAAGTGTATAGAAAAAAAAATACAGCAAAAATAGATAAATAAGAATGTGTTCCCACTTTTTAGACTGCCACAAACCTCCACAATTTACCTGGATCTCTTTCTCATTGTAATCAATTTAGTTTTCCACCCACTGCCTCTCCATAAGCCATAGAATCTAACCTTGGCACTTTAAATAAAAGCTGTATGTGCTCTTACCACCAAATCAATGACTCCCATACAAGGCTTTACTGGTGAGACCATCCGGTGTTAATCAGACATCAATATTTATGTATCATGTTATGGTCTGGGATGTAGGAGAACCCTATGATCACAGTCAGAGGACATCTTGCTGTCCTTGGAAACATGGGAGGGGTGGAATCCACAGCAGCACATTGATCAGTATAGGAAGAGAAACTTGATATGCTGATCGAGAAATACATTAGAAGAGTTCTGAAGGTGATTTAAATTCTGGTTTTAACTCTGAGCATCCTAGTATAGCCATGAAATAATCTGAGCAATCCTTAGATGGCACAGTTACCTCAACTGTCTATATGAAATTAGCATTAGTGGTTCTTGAAAGCTAATGGGGGGGGGGGGAAAATGGTTTTGATTCTTTTTTTTTTTTTTTTAAAGAAAACCTGTCAGTCTCTAACAATATCACACCCACAGTACTCAGCAAGAGAAAAGCCATTGTAGGAGTTCACGGCTTGTCTCCCCTACCTGCCTTCTGTTCCAGCGCTGCACTCTCAATCTGTGTTTTTGACATTTAAAGAAGAAGATCTCCGGGGAGAACTCCCTGAAGTGTTAACGAAGAACTCCAAGGATAAATGTTATTAACCCTTGCAGTGGGGTTATCCCTGTTTTTGACTAGGTGCTTAAAAAAAAGTTATACTCACCCGAAATGCAGAGCCGACTTCCTGCTTCTCCAGCCACTGAAACATGTCTCCTCTCCTCGCACAGATGAAATGTTCCTCATCGTCCTCACGTCTATACACTTGTATAGAATGTGGTGACACAAGGATTCTTTGACCACTACAGGAGGGGGAGAGAGACTCTAGGGTCCAAGAACAAGCTGGCTTGAATGATCGGGCTAGTATAACTTTTTTGTTAGCACCTAGACACAAACAAGCAGTGAATCCTTGCTGTACGGGGATAGCCCCACTACACTAAAGAAGATGATCGGATTAAGAGGCATCATTTAAGGTAAGTCCTTACACTAACATTGGGGGGGGGGGATTTGAAATTAATGTCACCTTAAAAACTTTCTGGTCATAGAGGTGTTCCTGTCAGGCAAGGAGCGTGGAGGGGAAGTGCTGGTCTGCAGGGAGTGGACAGTCCCGGCACAGCTTGTCATGGGGGTAGCAAAAGCCACCAGATGAAATTTTCTAACCTTTACGAGCATTTTCTTCTCCATTCATAAACGACTGACAAGGACTGCTCCAAAAACATCGCCCTCCAGGTCAGGTCAGTGTGTCTATGGGAACTTTTAAGTGTACATTTTAGTCAGAAGGGGGAAGGATTAGAAACTCTGTCAAGTTTTTACTGCTGGCTGGGTCTCCATTAGAGACATACCACTCACTTACTGTCCCAATACAACGGTTTTACCAGACAGGAGTAAGGAAAATTCTTCAACAGCAACAGTAATATATATAATTTTCTTTTGGAGGGGTTGTGTATAGTAGGGGAAAGCTGGACCCCTCTGAGCTGTCTGTGTCCCAGGTGCAGACTTTCACTTCCTGTCTGGTTAAACCTTGGTCTCATGACAATAAGTGATTGATAGTTGTAAAGACAAGGGTTCTTATCCTTGCCCATTCTATTTAAATCTAAAAAAAAAAAAGAACTTGGCAGAACTTACACTAATGTAATAAACTGCTCCCCAGTCTCCTGATGATTCAGTACAGCTAACTGGAACAACCTGAGACTTTGCTCTACTCGTGTACAAATAAGACATTTATGGGAAGGTAGGCAGAGACCCAAGCTGTTGGTGCAGGAAATAGGACACAGACAAATGGATTAGAAGTTGATATGCTAGAATGGTCAGTCAGCATGGAATCAGGCCAGTTCAGTCAGGCCCTGGTAGAAGAAGCTGTGATATATTAATTAGTGATCAATTGATGGATGCAGAACAGAGGCTGATGCTGAGCAATACATTATGGGGGGGGGGGGGGGG